GCTAATATATTTTCTACTTCCTTTGTTACTGTTACTGAATATCGAGCCTCTTCATTTCTCGTGGGCGAAACCTTCCCGTCTGTGTGTATTCTTATGACCAGCCGCTCTACCATTCCCGTGGGCTGAGTAGCCAGGATATCGCGGAGGATTCTAAGGCGGTGCTGCGACATCTCCCCGATGTCTGGCGCCCAGTACCTTTGCAGTAACTAATTTTCATGGAAACGCGTATATTGAAGACTTTCTTATCGACCATCGTCCTTAGACCATCCGATTATTGTGACTAAGGGTTAATAATACTGAATTGTGAATCGGTCATTAATTAAATATTTCCCGATCACAATATATACATAGTTATTTAAAAAAACAATTATAATGATCTGTGAATTAAGACGACAAATCTATACTTCTGCGACTACATTAATTGATCTTTCATCGGCATACTAGATACAAGAGAGACGCGAAACCTGCTTGATTAACTGACTGTGACATTTCTTCGTTCATACAATACATAGAAAAATCTAGCACTATCTTGCAATATAACCTAGTCGGGCAACGAATGTATGTAACCGTGTAGGGATTTTCACCGTACTGTATAGGATATCTCCGTAGATTCTGCGATGAGTCCAATCAAAAGAATTTGAGTTATAGTGTAATATAATTTCTAACAAATTATTTTGCATTAGTATATTCATGTTTCAATAAATTACTTGCTTCACTTCAATATAAAAACTGTTATTCGTATAATATTTCTACAAATAATAACTAGGCAAAGATATTTAATATGTCATTCATCTGGTAATATGTATGATACTTTACCACTGAAATTTATAATTAAAACACTATACACAATTGCCAATATCATTAAGTGCAACAAAGAGACTTGAATTTAGCAGATAGTAACTGTATCATATTTGTTATAAAAGATATATTCTAATGTTTATTATGTTCTTGTTGAAATAGAAAACAAAAATTTAGAACAATTAATACTACAATATATTGTATTGCACTAGATCAGTTGAGTGATTGCCTTAAGATATTGAATGAGGACTTTACAAATATTAAATCTATAATAGTCTTTTAGTTCAAGTATATTTACCCTTCATTCCAGTAAATATTATTAATTATTAGAAACTAATCACATGTAAGTTTTGATAAAAATTTTCATACAAAATTCAAACATTAATTTTATTTTTATCTATTAAACATTTAACCACAGATTTCATAAAAACAAATTATATGAAAAATATATATTTTAAAGAAAAATTTACTTTGATTTTTGATTTGAACTAAATATGTAACTGATTGTAAGCGTGCAAATGAGGAGGAAATCTTCTTTCCTCATGGAAATCTTTTGGTGTCACGTCTATGATTATCACGGTAGAAAGCTTACGAAGATTCCTAAATGACTCAACTTCTTTCTAAATGAATTTCATTCTACATTTAAGAATATACTTTCCTTTCAAATTTATATATATTTTTGTGTTTCTAAGAAAAATCAATTTATAAATTACATTTATATGGCATTTAACATTTTCGACAACGCAATACATTTATCTGATTAGTGACATTGCAATGCATTTAAATTTTATATTTGTTTAACAATACAGACTTCAGTGTTTAAAACTTGTTTCATATATCCCATTGAACAACAAAAACTTGTGATATCCCCCAAAAAACACTTACGTGTAAAAAACAACGCCAAGTACAGGATTGCTGTGAATTCCTCTAACAAAAACTATTGATATCATATTATTGAGGCCAAGTACATAAGTCACTACATGTTTTCCTATTATATGATCTAGCACTGGCCCATCATTTTAATTATATTTTCAATATTTCCTATAACGTTTTCGCTACTCTTTTATGTTACTACTGCTTCCCGTATTTAATTATGATTTAATGGTGATTTAATAATTAAAAAAACTTTAGGTGATTCCTTATCGAGTACTACTAGGCGGGTCCGTGCCAGGAATTCCAAAGTACTTAATCTTTACACGTGCTCATAGTATTCTAATGCTGTATGTTTGTTATTAAGCTTTTACCGCGATTATTTTTGACGAGTTATTGTTAATATGTTTTCTATAGAAAACTGGTACTGGTTTTGTACCAAATTTATATCAAGAAATGCACGGACCCGCCAAGTAGTACTCGATAAGCAATCACCTAAAGTTTAGTACCAATTTTCTATTGAAAGCATATTAACAATAACTCGTCAAAAATAATCACGGTAAAAGCTTAATAACAAACATACAGCATTAGAATACTATGAGCACGTGTAAAGTAAGTACTTTGGAATTCCTGGCACGGACCCGCCAAGTAGTACTCGATAAGGAATCACCCAAAGTTTTATTAATTATTAAATCACCATTAATTCATAATTAAATACAGGAAGCAGTAGTAACATAAGAGTAGCGAAAACGTTATAGGAAATATTGAAAATATAATTAAAATGATGGGCCAGTGCTAGATCATATAATAGGAAAACATGTAGTGACTTATGTACTTGGCCTCAATAATATGATATCAATACTTTTTGTTAGAGGAATTCACAGCAATCCTGTACTTGGCGTAGATTTTTACACGTAAATGTTTTTTGGGGGATGCTTATTGACACCCCTCCTTTTTCATTTGGAAAAAAAGCCTCAATTTTGCGAATTTCGCTCGAGGTACTCGGGTGACAATCGCTTGGCGCGTGTGGTAGGGTAATAGTCACTCGAGTACCTCGAGCAAAACTCGCAAAATTGAGGCGTTCTTTCAAATGAAAAATTTAACATCTCAGCGAACTCATTTTTATATGTTTAAAAACGCGTTTTAATCGTTGAAATCTCAGCTACAACGTGGAATAAATATGAAACTTCTATTTCATCGCAGTTCTAATAAAAAATGGCGGGGAAGTTTCAGGTGCACTTGCGATATCTCGAGATCTCTGTCACGGGATCATCCCCGAGAACAATAATTTTGTAAGAATCTGCAGTATGATTAAAGACACACAGAAACTGGACCAGATTGGCCGACGCGTTCGGAAGTTATGGCCAATTAAGTATTTTCACTTCAAAGGGGTGTAGCTCCCCCCAGAGTGATACTACAGGGGTTCAATGGGGGTGTTTCTTGACTGCCATAGGATGCTCTCTCTCTCGTGCCATAATTAGAAATATAAATTTCCTTTCGGAACTACTAGTTCTCGCACTTTTAAAAAAGTCCCAAAATGCACTATTTCACTCCAACCCCTGCCATTCAGCCATTTTGTATCCGATCAGGATAAAACTTTTACCATTCGAACGGGGAGGAAATTTCCTAAAAAATATGTCTTTGGTTTTTTGAAATCGGTTATAGTTTCACAAAAATACACAAAAATTGAAGTGTTACACTTCAATTGGACGTTACTGTATATTTCAGCATTTCGTTAAACTTCACGAAACACCGGTATGCATATATTTGATATTTAATTTTAAATTTTCACCCGGTATCAGAGAAAATTTTCTTTAAAAAAAACAATCGCGGTACGTAATGTGTTAACATTAAGTAGCGAGCAACTGATCAGCTGAATTTCTTGCAATTCTTTGATTGAACTACTAATTTTATCGACGGTAGAAACGTTATATAATGTTTCACGATTTCTGAGAATGTTAAATGGAGCCATTGGTATAAAATGTTATTAGAGCAGCGTGAAGTCAGCCTCCGCATTTTAAAATGGCTGTATTTCTTCTTCTGTTTGGTACAAATCAATATATCTACAGAACATACGTCAGTGAAGGAGTTCTATCCCGTTGTTCTACTGAAATTCTGATACAACAATGCGGGAGCGAAGTTCACAACGAGACTTCTCTCTTGTGAATGAATTATAACCGAGTATTTTTTTTATTAAGAGGGTTGGCTCTATTTGATTATCCCGTATCTTGGGAGCTCTTAATTCTTCAGGTGTATTCCAAGTGTTAAAACACTAGAATGTTTAATAAGGAAAGTATTCCTCTTGTATGATAGAAGTATAAGGGGGTGTGGTTTTTCGACAAAAGAGGTGGGTTATAAATTTGAATACTGCGTATCTTAAAAACTCTTAAATCGTAGAATAGATTCCAAGTGTTAAAACACTTTAGCGTTCACGTGAGACGTGGATATGATGTGTATTTTACTTTTGTAATTCGGGGTATAATCATGTATCTTGAATGGAGAGAAAAAGTCAAAAGTGAACGACCATTAGTCAATATCATGCAAGGGTGAAAAATGTAAAGTTTAAGATTGGTGAAAAGGTTTTATTTTATTTTTTTACATTTTCATACTCATTTAAGATACATGCTTCTACCCTTGGGTAGCGATATTTCACTAACAGGTTTCCAGCAATGGTATTCCATTATTATATATTTCATGGAATTAATTGATCTTATTTACATGACCAGAAAAAAAAGAAAATATCAATTTTAATAACATTACGAAACGTTCGATGTACTTCATGTTCATTTTTGGACTTGATTGCATAGAACTGAAGTTATGCAATCACCATTGCAAAGGTGCATGTACAATTTTTTATTTTCATACTGAACCATTTTCTTACAAGTTGTTCACTTTTTAATGTAAAAATTAATATTTGTTTAACACAGTTTCATATCAGCAATCTTACAACTTCCTACAGAAAGGTATAATAGTGATCTATGTCACAGATCTCATAACTATTATAACTCTGAATAGGAATTTGTCATATACATGTAATAGTGCTGATTTATAACTGTGATTTTTTTATTGCTGAGGTCATTCATACATCCTTTTCACAATGAAGTCGTACTCGCCTATAATATGTAATCGCCAAACATTAAAATGTGCTTTGCAGGGAGCCTCTTTCTTATCGCATTTAATACCACCTCAATGAAAAAAATCCTCTGGACTTCACATTTTATTGATAGATCAGTTGTACTTCTAATAGCACAGTGAAAGGCACATTGATGTATTACTATCAAATATGACTTTTTTCGCATGAAATAATAAAATATATATCTATGAAAGCTCACCCGTCGTCTGCATCATTGTTTTTCCAACATTAGAGGAGCCTTGCTGCTGATTTGTAGTCAATGTTGTTGCAGATACTACATTGGTCGTTAAAGCCATTGGTTGCGTACGAGCTTTAGCTACAGCGGCACAAAGTGTTGGTCCAATGTAACCATAATCCAATTTATACTCTTCAACGATATCAGGTGGAGGTCGCATAGTTTTTAAAACAGGTGCGACGGATTTCTGAAAATATTTTATAATTGAATTTTATACACCTAAAAAAAAAGATAAATGGAACAAAATACTTACTACTAGCAGAGTTTTTATATGACCTGCGCCGTTTTTATCAACACTCGAAAGTCCTGGTCCTTCAATGCATGCTTCAATACGCTCCGAAATTGACTTTATTTTTGGTATAACTAGAGCTTTGACCACTTCTGGTCCCAATTCAGATAATCCATCAATCGCTCCATATAAGGATGCTAAATGCGTCTACAATGTATTTTTATTCTTGAAACGTTGCCCATGTTTTAAATATTTATACTATGCATGACTTACTTGATTATTCTTCGTCAATGCTTGGCTAAACATACGAGTTACTCTAGTTTGAACATTATTAGTCGATGTATTAAAATTTTTACATATTTGGGCCATGAGTCTAGATGCAAAGTCTCGCAAAGCCCAATGATTGTCCATTTCTGGCCTCATACATAACTGACGTGAAACTATGCAGGTTGCAATTGATGGAATAAGTTCATGTAACTATAATGAAAAAATTAAAAACTCATTAAGCAATCACTTGAAGAGATGTCATGTAAAAAATATGTAACAAACGTACATATTTCTCCAAATAAAGACTTGGATTGTCGAGTAACGCTTTCACCATTCGCATTAAATAAATCAAGAGGGCAAGGTTATTTTGAACCACATTAACTCGCACACCTTCTGCAATAAATGTGCACATACGAGCTAACATTTCATGGAGGCCTGGATCTGCAGAAAGAGATTGAAGCGCTTCTGCTCTACGTGCTTCATCCGACCCAACGCAAGCTTCTGTGATTTCCTTATAGTATAATTGCTGTTCAACGCTTAATTCATGAGTTGCAAGCTGCTTCACATGAACAGTTTCAACATTTCGTAATTTTTTACTTTTACCTCCCCCTCCAGGTTTACCAACACCCATACTTTGACCTTTATTCGAAAGTTTGCTTGTTGGATCTACACTTTCTAACTTTTGAGCATCTGCAATTACATGGGTAGTCAGAATTCTTACTTTCATATGCAGGAATATACTTTAGGTTAAACCCAACATTAATCTAGCATTCAGGACTTATGTTGTAAAGCATATAAAAGATTATACAAATAAGACTGACCTCATAGCATGTATATACATATCTCCATCCAATATTACAATTTGATATGTTTTTACCTTTAGAGACTGGTGGTGGATTTTCTGGTATAGTAGGTTGCACCCCATCAATACAAAGCCAGTGTGCTCGTAACGTAATTTCTAAGGGTAATTTTGGCCATGTTTGACTACCAGACATAGATACCATTTCATTAAGATCAATTTCTTTTTCTTCGACAAAATGTAATTCTCTGCCTCCACCAGAAGCAAATCGAAATGGAACATGATCTTTTGCAAAAAATCCATAGGTAGGTTCAATATTTTTTATTTTTAGAGCATGGTCTATATCATGCATTGACATTTTCTGTCTTTTACCATGTCGCATAAATTTTGCAGCATCCTGTAATAAACAATTATAAACCTCATGCAAATTTATAATCTTATTCAAAATATCAACTTAGAACATATACTAACCTGTATGATCTCTTTAAGTCGGTAACTCACATCTTCAGCAAGATCTTTCGCAGCTTCATCAGGCAAATTTCCAACACCAATACTTTCTGCGATAACTTTCATAGATTCTTGAGATAACGTTGTTCCATATATAGATTCACTCTCACTCATTGTGAACTTCTATTTATACTGTATCACAGTTCAAATTCATAATTAAGGCTTCCAAAAATTCAGTAATTATAAGTATTTTATAGTACATATTTAAATATAAAAATTGATATATCAAAGTATATTTGTGAAATTAAACGTCTACTGAAATACTTGCCCTCTTACAAAAGCTTTCATGTTTTTCAATTAGAATCCTTTAGTTATTACACCACATACATTACAAGTAATATACTATTTACATATATAACCGAATTCTTCACTGGTGCAAAGTAACTAATAAATAATTTAACAATACGAAATTACTTAACTCTCTAAGCAATAGTATTTCTTATACTCAATTAGTAAAGAATAAGATTGAATATAACTGGGTATAACAGTATATATTCTTATCTATTGTTGACGATGTACATAAATTCCAATATAAACATGTAACCTAACCTAAACAAAATTAATTCTGCAATTTATGTTTACTGTAAACTTACTTTAAAAGTATCAGATTCGGCAATACTTTGCGGGAATAAATTTCTTATCAATAAACCAAGAGTTTGTTTGTATTTTTTCTTTTAGGAATATGTAGTACGTTAAGTAGCCGTTCGAATAGCCCTATTCCACTACGTGAAGTTCGCCATACAACCAGTTAAGGTAATATCACAGACCACTTATTGGAGACACGGCACTCACGTGCTATAGACTGTTAGCACGAGCAGCAGCGTCACTTTATCGGTAGGTCGTATAAGCAGAGATGAGTAGGGAGATTGCCAATGAGCCTGTTTTTGGTG